ATTGATCTTGGCAACCAGTGATCCTCCGGTAATCAAACATGGCAGAACATGAACCACATGAACCATTTATAGTTGATTTTCCCATGAAACCTTCGTTTGTAGGGGATTTGTCAATTGCCATGTTTGATCACCAGAGGGCATAACAGGGGTCACCCTTGCAGGTAGAGCATCCAAGTATGGTTAAGTTGGGCTTACCCTCTGGTAGACATACAAAAAACAATGGAACATCCACCCATCTTTAATAGGTAAATCAACTATTTCTATGGCCATTTTCAATAGCAAACTGTAAACGTTTACCAGAGGGGTATTCGTAAATCCATCCACCACCCATCTTTTGGAGCTGCAGGTGATGCAATGCGGGACAAGGTGCAGAAACAAAAACGGCCCGCAGAAACGACGGTCAGACACGTCTGACATCAATCCCAAGAGAAGATTCATCAGAGGTAGATCCTGGGAGATTTGTATTTGAAATCCCATCTGGTTGGTGGTTTGGAACATGACTGGATTATGACTTTCCATAATATATTGGGAATGTCATCATCCCAACTGACGAACTCCATCATTTTTCAGAGGGGTAGGTCAACCACCAACCAGCCATGTTCAAGAGATGCAATGAATAGAAAAAAGTACAGATTTTCGACACCTGGGCGCTATGCGTTTTTTTCCCGGGTGGCTCCATTTGTCTTTATTTAACGTTATGTAGCCAATTTTCTTTTGACCTTTGTATCTAGAATGTTTTTTTTAGCATCTTTGTTCGCAAGTAGGTAACACACCTATCAAATTGTAACGAGGGTAAAGATTGCTAGTCCCTCATGGGCTTTGCAAACTACTCTACTTGGTAAGTATCAATCCAACTCTGATCGCTCAAACTTTGATCTTCCAGATGTCCGTTGCCATGTTTGATGGTGCAACGTTCTAAACATGCCATGGGAAGTAGGAATAAAGGTCAACCACAATAGAATTTTAGCATAAATCGTGGCTGCGTTGAGTTGATAAGCCAATTCACATTTTGCCTAAAATGGGTATTTTGCAAACGGGAAATCCACCAGAATGCGGAAACTATAGGGATTGATCGTTATGTGTTTGACAATTGTTATTATTATCATTATCATCATCATTGTACCCTCTGGTAATTTAACAGTTTGCTATTGAAAATGATCATAGAAATAGTGGATTTTCCCATTAATAGCATGGTGATTTTCCATAGTTACGTGAACGTTTACCAGAGGGTATATCCCATGAATATCCCATTGAATCACTATAAAAATCCCATTAAATCCCATTAAAATCCATTATTATTGGTTCCATTAAATATATCATCATTGTACATTGTTGAATCATTATTATTGCTTCCTTAAGCACATGCCATTTGAATGGTGACTAAAACATCGGTGAAGACCTTCCATTTCTAGCCGACAGCTGCCTTCCATCCTGACCAAAAAAATAACCTTGTTGATTGGTTACTATAGTTCAGGAGTTATTTTTTATTATACCTGGCTAAAAATTGCGAGTTAAATATAAGATTTATGAAAAAAAATGATGATACAAATAGTAGATTCCCATAGAGTATTATAGAATATTATAGAGGGGTTTCCCGATCAACCAGAAAGGGCTGTCGCGTTCGAAAAACCACCCCTGCTTGCGCAGGTTCTTCAGTTGCGACGCAAGCTGGAGGCACATTCTCTGGCATGATTTTTGCTCGCGTGGTGTTGCGAGTTTCATGTGGATATGTATATATATATTATTATACATCTTACACATATTCTATGAATACCAGGTTGGCTGTTACATGTTTTTCACAGTGTATCTAGGGTTAGCAGTGGTTGAACACATATTTCATATACTTCGTGGCGATGTTTTGGCATTGTTTTGGAGGGTCTAAAACATAGATGTTGGTCATCTTGGTTTTGGTTGAAGATCCCATCTACGAATTTCTGGGATCAAAAAGGCCGTCAAATGGAGCCAGATGGAGGTACTGCCACAAAATGGGCAACAAAAATATTGCGATGGACAGATAAACCCCCACATATATATGGGCCGGAAAAGCAAACCGGATGGAGCAAGCACCTGGAATTTTACTTGGTGTCCGATTTTTTAAAAACCGCATGTTTGTTGGTTATGACTACTGTAAATGATATTCCATGTTTGTTGGCTACAGTCCATATTTTTGGGATATATCGCCCGAATACTTACAGGACCTATTCCATTCTTGTTGGCCATATATAGTGGTTATACTCACATGTCTTTGATATACCATACTATCCAGTTTCATAAAACTATCATATCACAGAATATTGGAATCTGTATATGCTCCGACTGTATATGAATGGATCATTCCACATGGATGTGGCCACCCTGGATTAGCCTCCAGGAGTAGGACAAGGATGAAACACATTCACCATACACACGTTGGCGATATGTCCCACTGTATCCCACGAAACATCAATGTTCCCCATGAAATATCTCATTGTATTCCCAGTGTGATATATATATAATATATATATTTAAATGGGGTTACTAAGTTTACAGTAATTCAGAGTATCTTAAATTTGTACTTATGATCATTTTTATTGTGACTTATATCACCTAGATATAGTATATTGCCAATTATGTACATAAAATATAACAAATTCTGTTACTATACACATTGTAACACAAGATGTATATGTTTAATAGATGGCAACAGTAGATAATATGGCAAGAGTTAACCTCTGGTAAATAAACATAGACCCTGAAAATCACCAATTGTTAGAGGAAACTAATCTTCCAATTCCTATCTGCCAGGGTCTATGTTAATTTACGGGAGGGTAACCTCCAACTAATATCGATGTACAAAACCCACCGTTTCTTGCCACATTTTGCCATGGATCAGGCCGACGGCCGTGGCGTGGGCTTCGCCATGCTGGGAGCGTTGGCGCTGGGATCTGATCGTGCTGCGGCAAAGAAGAACGTTGTTTTTTTTTGGGTGGATTTTAATGGGATTTGGTTAGATTCTAATGGAATTTAGTGGGATTTTAATGGGATTTGGTTAGATTCTAATGGAATTTAGTGGGATTTTAATGGGATTTGGTTAGATTCTAATGGAATTTAGTGGGATTTTAATGGGATTTGGTTAGATTCTAATGGAATTTAGTGGGATTTTAATGGGATTTGGTTAGATTCTAATGGAATTTAGTGGGATTTTAATGGGATTTGGTTAGATTCTAATGGAATTTAGTGGGATTTTAATGGGATTTGGTTAGATTCTAATGGAATTTAGTGGGATTTTAATGGGATTTGGTTAGATTCTAATGGAATTTAGTGGGATTTTAATGGGATTTGGTTAGATTCTAATGGAATTTAGTGGGATTTTAATGGGATTTGGTTAGATTCTAATAGGATTTAGTGGGATTTTAGGGTTTGAGTGGGATTTTAACCGGGTTTCACTGGGATTTATATAGAGGGATTTTAGGTGGGTAAATCACTTAAATTTGGTTTGACCCATTAGTATCCCATAATGTCATATACATCATCAATCGGTTTGAGCACCTTATTGTTCGTTTATCTTTTCATAAATCCATCCATTTATTCCCAACAGCAGGGCCTGTTGGGTTTCAATCTCTAGGGCTGGGGCTGGCTCGCGGGGACTTGCAGCCTTCAAAATCCGAATGGAAAATGGAACCTGGAACCCTGGAACCCTGGAACCCTGGAACCCTGGAACCCTGAAACCTTGGAACCCCGGAACCCTGGAACCCTGGAACCCTGGAACCCTGGAACCCTGGAACCCTGAAACCTTGGAACCCCGGAACCCTGGAACCCTGGAACCCTGGAACCCTGGAACCCCGGAACCCTGGAACCCTGAAATCCTGGAACCTTGGAACCCTGCGACCGTGGAACCCTGAAACCTTGGAACCTTGGCACCCTGGAACCCTCAAGGATTCTGGAACCCTGCTACCTTGGAACCCTGGAACCTTGGAACCCTGCAACCCTGCACACCTGGCACCCTGCTGGGATCCTGGAACCCTGAAACCCTGGAACCCTTGGAACCCTTGGAACCCTTGGAACCCTTGGAACCCTTGGAACCCTTGGAACCCTGGAAACCTTGGAACCCTGAAACCGTGGGACCCTGGTACCCTGGAACCTGGAACCTGGAACCCTGATCCCTGGAACCCTGGAACCCTGGAACCCTGAAACCTTGGAACCCGGAACCCTGGAACCCTGGAACCCTGGAACCCCGGAACCCTGGAACCCTGAAACCCTGGAACCTTGGAGCCCTGCGACCGTGGAACCCTGAAACCTTGGAACCTTGGCACCCAGGAACCCTCAAGGATTCTGGAACCCTGCTACCTTGGAACCCTGCAACCCTGCACACCTGGCACCCTGCTGGGATGGAACCCTGAAACCCTGGAACCCTTGGAACCCTTGGAACCCTGGAAACCTTGGAACCCTGAAACCGTGGGACCCTGGTACCCTGGAACCTTGGAACCCTTGAAACCCTAAAACTTCCAAACCCTAAACTCTATGCGCTCTGCGCGCGCTGCATGCAATAAAGTAAACCCTAAAACTTCCAAACCCTAAACCCTAATGCGCGGTGCGCGCGCTGTGTCCCAGAGAAGTAAACCCTAAAATTTCCAAACCCTAAACCATCGTGTTATGCAACTTCCAAACCCTAAAGTTTAACCCGCGGTGTGCGCGCTGCATGCAATAAAATAAACCCTAAAACTTCCAAACCCTAAGCCCTAATGCGTGCTGTGCGCGCTGCGTGCCAGAGATAAACCCTAAAACCTTCAAACCCTAAACACTAATGCGCGCTGCGCGCGCTTTGTGCAATAGAGATAAACCCTAAAATCTTCAAACCTGAAACTCTCGTGTCATAGAGGTAAACCCTAAAATTTCCAAACCCTAAACCCTAAACCCTAACGCGCGCTGCGCGCGCTGTGTGCCATAGAAGTACCCCTTAAAATCTCCAAACCCTAAACCCTCGTGTCATGGAGGTTAACCCTAAAACTTCGAAACCCTAA